CAACAACAACAGCAACGGACAGTGTTTGGGCAAGGATAACATACATATATGGCTATGACTTCCTGTTAAATCGGCCTATCATAATGAAACTTCGCATACGGACTCACTATTACTAACAGGAGGGATTTCAATGACAAGTTCCAAGAAACACAGAAATTATGGAAAATAAGTGATTGCGTGGGAGAGGGGGGAAGGAGGGGAATACCAAAATATACATTTTCTGCCTATTCACATAAGGCATCTTGGACTAAAATTTGGACAAAGAGACAGGCATAAATCGAATCGTTTTGTCATGCTGATCAAGAATATATGTATGTATGTCGGCAATTAAGTAGAGTATCAGTTTTTTCATAATGTTCAACAGCTGTTTTGTCATATTCGTTGTTCTCGGTATTCTGCCAATTACGGTTTTATCCCGATTCCTTTGAATTGAAGCGGCGAATTCACCAAGAGCGGAACGTAATTTGTTTTGACGTAATTTGTTTGAGTGTGGCTCCTTTCACAGTGCGTGAGAGTGAGAACGCTAAGAAATACTATGGCAGCAAATATGCAGCTGGCGCAGTAGTATTGCGTTGTCGACCGATCAATACGGATGCATGCGGAGTTTCGCTACGCTCCTAAAATGAGTGATCCTGGAAAAGACCCAAAGGCCCAAGAATTATTATTGGTGCAGCTCTTTGATAGTGTAGAAACATCAGCAGCAATGTTTTTAAATGTGTTGAGCAGCCGCCCAAATGACGGCGTGTCTTTTAGTGTATGTATGCCGTATGATGACGTCAATCAGAACAAGATGGCGCGAAATGACTGTAAAAGAAATTGCGGTGTCGGTAACTCTTGGACATTTAGCATAGACATATCGACAGCCGTTTGCAGCGACTAGCATTTACGTCAAACACGAGTTCCAGAATTGAGTTGCAGTCAGAATTAAAGGCATTCATGTTCAGTAAGAAGCGAAGCCACTTCCCCGAAAACTTTGGTAGCGAAAATGTCAAAAGGCAAAAATCGTCCACCATCACTTGTCATTTTTGCGGCAAGCTGGGTCACAGAATGATCGAATCCCGACTCAAAATGCAACAAAGTTAGTCAACATACAGGAACGACCGATACGGAACTCAAGCGAACCGACAGCAGGAAAATTCAAACATAGCTTCCTACAAGTGCGGAGACTTGGGACACATTGCGTCTTATTGTACGAAGTTCCTGGCTGGAGGCGGAAAAGGAGCCCTTCAGGAGAAGAGAGTCGAACAGTGTACCATAATAGAACCAAAGGGGCACATGGTTCACCGAGGTGAGATCATTCCAATTGTTTTGGACTCTGGCGCAGAATGTTCACTGATTAAAGAGAAGATAAGTAACAAATTGTATGGCAAAAGAATTAACAAAACTGTAAACTAAAGGGCATTGCTAGTATTGTCAGTACAATACAAATCTTAAGTAATGTACAAAATTACGAAAAATGTTTTGAAATTTTATATCATGTAGTTCTTGATGAATATTTGAAGAATGAAATTATAATTGGTCGAGAAATTCTCAGCCAAGCATTTCATATAATTATTACACAAGATAAATTTAAAATTTTGCGAACAAAAGCGGTAATTTATTGCTGAAGTGATAAGAATTTTGTTATCTATGATAATCTTGACACTAAACTTGAAAGCAAAGACAAAGTCAATTTAATTTCTCTGTTAGAACAAGAAAGGAATGCTAAAGTCGAGCAGGCTCAACTCTTAAATACCCTGTACCACCCCACAAAAAAGTAATTAAATTAATTAATTAATTTAATTTAATTAATTAACTAAATTAATTTAATTAATTAACTAAATTAATTTAATTAATTAACTAAATTAATTTAATTAATTAACTAAATGAAATATAAAATATTCCATGCATGCATACATACATTTACATTTACATCAGAATCGTGCCTTATGCGTGTTTGTGTACTTGTATGTATGTGTGCATTGGGCCTGGTTATATAGCTATAACTTTCTTTCCGATCATTCTATCATAATGAGACTTGGTATACGGTTATATAATAACTAACCTAATGTGACTACCAAATTTTAGTTCAAAATTCCAAGAACTACGGGAGTTATAGAAAATCGTTAATAGGGGGGAGTGGGGGGTGGATCAGAAAAAATGAACAAACTCGTCCTTTCTCGGTGTCAGGAGAATCTGTATACCAAGTTTTGTTATTCTAGCTCTTATACTTTCGGAGATCCTTGCGTTCATACAGACAGACAGACGGACATGGCTATATCGACTCGGCTTGTCATGCTGATCAAGAATATATATACTTTGTGGGGTCTACCAAGCCTCCTTCTGTGTGTTCCATGAGCACTCGCACAAAACTAATATACCCTTGTACCCTTTGGGTACAGGGTATAAAAATATTCAACATCCTTTATTAAAGGACCCCTTGTTTACGAGTTAGTACTGGAGAAATGAAAATAATAATAATAAAAAATAATATGCCAGTCGTGCAATGCTCGTTAAAAAGAAAAACGGGTCCGACCGTCTGTGCATCGACTATCGCGAATTAAATTCGAACACGAATTTTTGTCTATGCCATTTGGGCTCAAGAATGCCCCTTAGGTTATTCAACGAGCAGTAATGAAAGCTCGGGGATCTGGCAAACACATACGTAGACATTATGGTAATAGCTTCGACAAAAAAGAAACATTTGACAGATTGCACATTGTTTTCGATATTCTTGCTAGTTCAGGATTTGCATTCAATATCACAAAATGCTCTTTCCTCAAAACTACGGTACAATATCTGGGCTATGAGATTAGTGCCGGCGAAATTAGACAAAATCTTCGTAAGATTATAACGCTAACCGCAAAAATCCGTAACAGGATTGAGACAATTCATTGGACTGGCTTCCTATTTTAGGCAATTTATATATGGATTTTCTAAACTAATGAAACCGTTATATTTTCTCAATTCTGAGAAAAATAAATTCACTTGGAAACCAGAGTACGAAGAAATCCGAATAAAAGTTATTTTCATCCTTACGAAAAAACCAATTCTTTGATGCTCAATATCCATTTGAATTACATACCGATGCCAGTTCTGATGGATATGGTGCCTAACTTCTGCACAAGATTGATAACAGACCCCATGATAATATGCTCTTGACATTTTATGTACAGAGTACTTGTATAATTAGTTGACAACTGCATAACGTGTAAAATTTCAAAATCGTCTTCTGGCAAAATTCAAGCCGAGCTTCATCCTATCCCAAAAATTAATATACCATGGCATACCGTTCATATAGACATTACTGGAAAGTTAAGCGGGAAAAGTTACAAGGAGGAATATATTATTGTTCAAGTGGATGCTTTTACCAAGTATGTCTATTTAACCACACCATAAATTTGCATGCAGGGAGTTGCATGAAAGCCATAAAATCTTCTACAAGGTGCGTTCCAAAGTAAACAGCACTTTTTGAATCTAGCGCTCCCTGGTGGCGCTATCTATATGTCGACTGGTGCGTTAGAATCTGCTGTCTTTATCGAGTGTCCAGTGACATTCATTGCTGACTGCTGTAGAGTCCGGTAACAGGTCGTAGTAGGAGGCGCTATGTGAAGTGCAGCTGGCATTAAATTGTACAATTAATCGCACTACGAAAGCAAATCCGTTAGAGATGTTTATTGGAAAGGTAGCACGTCCGGTAGATTTACTTCCACTTGACGATGCGGAAATTGAAGTTGACTTGTCAAATGTAAGGGCTCAAGCAACTAAAAACATGTTAAGTACCGCTATTTACGAGGTTTGATAAAGGCAAGGCAAAAATAATTAAACATAAAATACGTGATTTTGCGCTTCTAAAAAACGAAGAAAGACACCAGACCAAAATAGACCCAAAGTTTAGAAGACCATTTGCGGTAACGGAAGTTTTGGATGGTGATAGATAGACTCTAAAGGCGTTGAATAAGAAAAGACTGTACAAGTATGCATATGAACATTTGCGAAAACTGCCAGACAGGCAAATACCCACCGAGCTAGACATATGTGAAGGTTACAATGAAGAAGTCGTTGAAAAAGAAGATGTGAACAACAGTGAAACTGTCAACGCCTCAATCTAACCTCATAATACATATCACATAATACAAGTCGTACAGTTCTAGTAGAAAAGTATTGCCTCAAAATTGTATCTAAGTATGTGTGTCTATGCCTGACATTGAGTTCGTGTAGAAAGCATTACAGCGCATGGGAAGAGATTACACTTGGTTTTGACTATCTTTACATTTTTCACATATCATTATGAAATTCTAAACGAGTACACACTCTTAAGTGTCTTTCTAGGGATAAATTTGCCAAATTCGAAGAATTTCAGAAAAATCACTAACAGTGGGGGAGTGGAAAGGACGAAAATTTTGAAATACACTGATCTTGCGTACTCATGTAAGGCACATTGGACCACAAATTTATGTCTCTAGCTCTTATAGTCTCAGATATATACGTGACTATACGAACGGCGTTACGAAAAATCGATAGTATCAAGAGGTACACTTTTTCAGTATTAGGAAAATCGGGATAACATGGTTGGATAAAGTCGAGCGCACCGACATTGAAATGCTTTGTGCATAATTATAAAAATTTACAAAAAATAAATAAAACAAACTTGAGCAGCGTACACACATAGGGCATATTCGTGCAAAATTTTTGTGTGTCTAGCTCTAGTCTCTGAGATCTAGGTCTTCATACAGACACACCGGGCTAGGTCGAATCGCTTTGTATGCGGAACGGCCGTGCGGTTGGTGGAGTTTGACATGCCTTCTTCTGCTTGTTACATTTTTCACTTCCCGCAAACCTACTCTTGTAGATTTCATGTACAGATTGTAAAAATGATACTCTGTGCACATATTCAAGTTTTTACAAACCTCTTTTTAACACCTCTTCTATCTTTTAGGTAAAGTATATACAAATGAATACATATGGTAGATTTTTTACCCCCTTTAGTATTTACATTTATAATCATAGTCTCAACGATGTCTGATGGCAACCAAGCCCGTATTTTATTTCTGGCTTTTACAATGACTTTTTTATAAAGTGTGGCGATAAATGGTGCCACAAAATGTTACTCTTGATAAACTACTCCGATGTCACAAGTTCTGCTTGAAAGCCGTTAAAGTACGGATGCTCTAAAATTTCTTTGGCCGAAATACGATGCACTGGATCATATATGAGCATGCGTTGAATTAAGTCTACGCCGTCATCATCAAGGTTTTTAAGTTGATTGGTTAATTGATTTGTTGACCAACACGGAAATGTGTTCTTATAATCCGGCAGTGATGTTACACCTGGCCAAATGTCTTCTGTGGGAGTTTTTAAAATTCTGAAATCGATAAGTTAAATATATTGTTAGATTTTTTATAAAAGTTGTTTATTTATATATATTTTTTAAAAACATATAATTTCTTATGCTCTCAAAAAGTAAAAGGGTACATTTTTTTAAAAGCCAGAAAGAATAATGATTTATGCACATACATATATGATCAAAACAAAAAGTTTTGATGAAAGAGTTAGGCGTGATTTTCGTGCGCTCCCAAACCTTATTTTTTTTCGAGTTTACATTTGCCTGTAACGTACCTGAAATGTACAAGAGTATATAATACTTGCGGGAGCTGAAAAATGTAATAGCAGAAGGAGGCGTTGCTGACCCCACAAAATATGTATATTCTTGATCAGCATGACAAGACGAATCTGTCTGCCCCTCTGAACAAGTGGATCTCAGAGACTATAAGAGATAGAGGCACCAAGTTCCTGTTTCATTCCCGGTTCACAACCTTCCACCAATAATGCCCCACAAATCTAAGCCATGTTAAAGTTCAGTTTGCTTACTCTACATTACCAAAATGGTAGAGTTTTTATCTAAGCTTAAAAACTTATTTAAACACAGCATACCGTGTGAATCTGACATTATCTCATTTTCAGAAACATGGTTGAATAACACTGTTTCTGATTATGAAATTCTGTCAAATACCATTTACACGTGTGATCGCCCAAATCGTTGTGGTTCGATAAGAACTAGTATATGTAAATATGACTGCTGAAGTATAATTTATTGCTGTTAAAGTAACTCTACCTTCATACGCTGTATTTATCACTTTCTCATATATTCCACCTCCTCCTGATTATCAAGTTTATATGTGTCATAGAATTCAAATTGAACGTCGTAGAGGTCGGACGTATTTATTATTTCGCTCCGTCGTGTTTTAAAAGTATAGTGCATTTAACGCCAAATTAACCAAATTAATTCGCGAAAAAACGCTCAGGGTATGCATGGGCACCTATGCTCGTGTGACCCGTGTAAATGTCTATATATATAAAACAGTTTGTCCTGACTGATTGGTAATCAACGTACAGCCCAAGCGGCCCAAAGCTAGAAAGCTGAAATTTGGACTCAAGTATCTTTTCATAGTGTAGGTGCCCACTAAGAAGGGATTTTGGAAAATTCGAGCTCCAAAGGGGGGAAAACAGGCTCCAACGTTTGTATGAAAAATCTGCATTTCTGCACCGATCAACTTTAAATTTGATTTTTATAATCTATAAAAGAATACAAACAAAACTGCCTACTCGAAATTTGTGATGGAGCTTGAATTATTGAGGTTTTAATATTTATTCACCTTTTCAAATGAAAAGTTCGTGTTACAAATTTTTTCCGATCGTTTTCAAATTTGGGGACGGTAATCTACGTAACTAAATCTACAACTTTGCGTTCAAAATATGAATTTTACAAATGCAGGCAGAACAAACAATACAAACTATCAAACAGTTGGGGACAACTAACTATACATATGCACACACACACACACATACAAGCAGCTGTTCGTGTAGTTGCGTGCAAACGCTTGAAATAGCCAAATCAAAATGTGAGACACTAATGTGTGAATGTATACACATACATATGTACACATCCATGCACATGTAAACATCTATGTTTGTATGTATGTTCATTCGTCTTGCACTGACAGAGCAAGAAATGTTAATCAATTAAAAATTATTTAACATTTTTAAAAGTAATTTTTCTTACTTACATTTGGCATTAGGGTTTTCATTAGTAACTTTATGCAGCAACAACAAATTACAAAGAACGCAAATATCAAATAGTTGGGGACATCATATACACACACTCACACACAGAACAAGCAACAGTTCGTGTCTTTGTGTGCGGTTCTCTACGTGCGGTTGAAAAAGTAAAGAGAAAAATGCATGCATATGTACATACATATGTAAGTATATATGCCTGTGTACGTACATATATAGCATGTATCTACATTCGTATGTATCTATGTATACATTAGACAATCGAGCACTGTTGTTTGATTGTAATAAATAATGTTCTATGGTTTTAAATCAAATTTTTAAACCCAAAAACAACAACAACTGAAAGTCATTGGCTCACGCTTCTTCTTTCGTTTTGATCATTTACGCCTGTTAATTTCAAAGGCAAAATGCCAAAGGTTTACAGTTACTCTAGCACATAGAGCATCCGACACATGCCCATCTCTAGCATCTCAGCTGATCGCATATTTACAGCGACTTACCGTTTTAGTGTTAGCTAACAACGCTACAAATGTATAGTTTTGATGCTCTTGCACATCCGACACATGCCCATCTCTAGCATCTCAGCTGACCGCATATTTACAGCGACTTACCGTTTTAGTGTTAGCTAACAACGCTACAAATGTATTCTGAACAAATCTAAGAGTCATTTACCGTTAAGCCTATTTTGTGAGTGTATTCAAGCGATTTACAAAAGCAGAAAACACCTTTTACATTCACAACAATCATATTTGGAATTGAAGACACAAATTAGTGTTGAAATTAAAAATTTAATACATACTTATATACAGGGTGCGCCATATTTTATGTCGTTATGTAAATATTGAATAACTTTGTCATTAGTGAACCGATTGACTTGAGTAGACCAGTGTTGAAAACCTCAGTTCAAGAAATTGTACAGAACCAAATTAAATAAAAATATCTCATACTTGAAAATCGGTTGTTTTTTTTCAAAGATATTCAATGTTTACATACCGACATAAAAGATGGCGCACCCTGTATGTATGAATGTATGTACATATATAGGCGGATAATTTTAGCGGGACGTCCCGATTTATAAATCAAAATTAAATGTCCCGCGTCGGACTTTTCGGGGATAACTCGACCGTGCGTACAACGTGCTGCGAAAACACACAGTTAAGTCAGGACTGGCAGTCCGCCCGGTGCGTAACGAAGATACATATGTACATATGTATGTATGTACGTACAACCATACATAGTACTTATTGTACTATATTTGCTTTTTGGAAAATGAACTCTTTAAAAAACTTTAGAGCGTCGAAAGAAGAATATCATATAGTAAATAAACTTTTAATTATAAGCACATTTTACTTAGCCCAGAAAAGACGGTCAAGACCTGCTAGAGCTAAGAAAAACGAACTAAATTTTGAGAAAAAAATAACGTAATGTCAACGAGTAAGAACATAAGCTCTGTGAAAAAAGAAAAAATGAACCAGAATCGTGCTCGGCAGCAACAACAAGACGAACGTCGACTTTCGTCACTTCGTAACAACGCGTACTTTTCTATACGCGCACCCGATGTAACGGTAATTCGGAAAGAGAACGCTCTCTATCCCCTGCGTTAATATGCTAACCGAACACATTGCAAAGTAGGTCATGGAGTGCCCAGTGCCCTGCTCCAGACCCCTACTGTCTTACCAATGAATTGCTGATAACAACAACGACCAGTACAATGCCCTAGCTTACAACTGTGTCTTCGACAACGACAACTACAACAACAACCGTCTCTAAGCGCCCGGTATTGTCAACTTACTGCGACCTCCCCCTCTCCCAAGCGAAAATTACGCAAAGCGCTAACGGAGCGTTTAAACAGACTGGGCTCGATCGCTATGTGCAAATTAAATGAAAACTAAGCCCACAAGCGAGTAAGAAAAACAACGCGTCCAAAATAACAAAAACAGCTAAAAACACTGTGCCATCTGAGGCGCTGCAAAATAATAGATTCGCGATTCTCAGTTTACCTGTAGAAGACAACGCAGAAACAGCTAAGGCCAAGCAACTAAAGCCACCACCTATTTATGTGCGTCAGGCAAATTGCAAAGAATTAGTTAAACAACTCACTACCAAAATTGGCGAAAACAAATTCTATGTTACGTCTATAAAAAGGGGTAGCATAAATGAAACTAAAATACAAGTCCATGACGAAAATATCTATCGATAACTGGTCAAATACCTCGACGATGAAAAGATGAATTACTACACCTACCAACTTAAAAGCAGCAAGGATTACAAGTGGTTATCAAAGGAATTGAGCCAACAGTTCCAGTCAGCGAGATAAAGATGGACTTTCTTAATTTTTTTAATTTCTATATTTATTCTAAGCATATGTACAGAGTATTTCAACTTTAGCATTCGTTTCTTGTTTATTTTAAATAATGTTTTTTATTTCCCTTTTTTGTGCAGAGTACAGGTCGGGCTTGCTCGACTGTAGTGTAAAAGAGCAAGTATCAAAGCATAATTTCTCTCATTAGAAACAGTAATCGAAACAAAACGTGCCACAGAAAAAAAAACAGAAAACGGAACGTTTGCAGTTGTTTGACTTTACATTTGAATTTCGAAATGTGTTATAAATTGATGTAAAATTTGTTTACATTAGTTAAATTTTATAGATTCTCTATCAAAATATATTAAACTGTAACGACGCCCTGGCGACCGTCACAGGGTGTCGTTACTAGAGGACGGTGAGGACGGCGTAAGAAATAATAGTAATAAGAATGAATGTAATATGAATAAAGTGAGGTTAAGCACGTCCTAGACCACGCAGCAGACATGCCACCGACACCACGCGCGACCCGCGCCACACCGGCGGTGACCCACCCAAAATTACAATGCACGACAACACGTGGACAGCAGCTGCAGCCCCACAACACATGGTCAACAGGTGGCAGCGTTGGCCGTCAGAGCCCCAGCTGACTGCTGCACAAAACCAACGCATGGGATGGGTAGCACAGCGGTAGGCAGGAATTCCGCTGCCACAGCGGCGTACCAGCGGACCCGCAAGCAGCCGGCCCCTCCGAAGAAAGGGAGAGTGTAACGACGCCCTGGCAACCGTCACAGGGTGTCGTTCTGTTGAAGCTTGGTCGTATTGGGTTTCCAACTACTTTTTTGGTTTGGATTTCATCTTATCTTATTAATAGGATTCAGAGAGTACTAAAGATCGGATATCTCTCAACCTGTCTGTTCATGTTAGTTCTGGTGTACCTCAAGGTAGTCATCATGGCCGATTATGATTTACTCTCTTTATAAACG